GCTTCCCCCCTCCAACACATCGATGCCAAAAACAAAGCAGCAGTGCATAAAAAAAAAAAAAAAAAAAAAAAAAAAAACGAGAACGGCAACAACTGCGAGAGTAAAGCTCTTGGAGCTGTCGCATCCTCATTCAGCGAAGCTGTGGAGCAGCCGGAGCCACTCATTAAGCTGATTATATTGTTATCCTTTTTATGATACGTGCAATACGTGAGCGCATATGGCAGCAGCCGCAGTTCCATCCATCCACCCAGGCCACTCCTTATCCATGCATCCACTGTGAGTTTTTCAGTACATTTTTGCAAGTGTAATTATATGGAGCAGTAAGTAAAAGCGAACGCGTTAAGTCTCATTTATGCACCGCATACGCTAAAGACCTTCAAATTGATGAGTCCTTTGCCCTATCGGGGTGAGAGTAGTGAGAGTTGGGTTTGAGTTTATTACAGGTAAAAGATTTCATGGAACTTTAAGAGGATAATAACACAAATGTGTGCTCTATATAAGTGCTATCGATGCGTTCTTTCATAAGAGTTAAGAGCAATTTAATACTGCCCATGTTGAATGTAAAATTGCTTCAATCACTAGGATATATGGAGAAGAAAGAAAGAATGTTAGTAAAATATTAACCATATTTTAATATATAACTGTTAATTTACAGAGATACATATATTACAGAAATAATGTTAAATTAACATGACTTCAACATAACTTATACATTTAATTAACTGTTAATTGCATAGAAAGATTTACAGATTGATTAACAGTTCTGTTGTTTTAGTCAACTGAGGCGCTCACAAATAATATAATGCAAAATCAACTCAAAAGCAGAATTTTAAAATCAGAATCATGCAGAAAATATATATTAAAACTTTCGCAAATTAATACATAAATTGAAAAACAATTACAGTAAAATGGAAAGTCCGCCAAAAAGACAACGAAAAATGGTTTAAGCTGGCAAAGGAAGACCACAATTTATTTATTTAAGCGAAAAGGATATAGAATTATAAGCAAATGTAATTTAAATATGAATTTAAGTGAGTTCTGTGCACAAAGAGGAAGGCGCTCGTCGCTCAGCGCGGCGGCTGCGTTCCAGGCGGGACAACAGGGCGGATACGCCACGCGCTCAAACAATGAGCCATGTAAACAAAACTGCTGCCGCTGCGGGGCACTAATATAGAGCGAAAGAGTGTGGGCAGCAGGAGAGGCAACAAAATTTTCATAATCATAATCAAAATGGCATTAACAACAAAAGCAATGCAAATACGAGTTGAAGCAGCGACAACGACAACGACAACAGACGCGTCGCAAACTGTAACCAAAAATGACATAATGAAATGCAAAAGCAGCGACAAAAACAAACTTTCGAGTGGCAAGAACAATGGAAAGCTGGCATGCTCGACTAACAGATACCCAATGCTTAAATTGAAAAGGAAATAAGCATTCATTTCGATGGGTCTCTGAGAGACAGAAGCTGATGTCCTTAATCTCTAAAGTCAACTAGTTCATTTCAGAGAACTTCCTACTTTTTCCTCTACATCTCTCACTCCCTCTCACACACATGAGCAACCAAATATCCCTACAGGGTATGTACAAACAACAATTTGCGGCGTCTGTGTCTGTCGCTCTGCTGTTGTGCATAATGCAGTTTCAATTTCAATTGTTGTCGCCCAAAGGATCTGCGAACAGGACAACCAACAAAAAACGAGGACTTTTCCCGCTCTGCCTTCAAACTGCAGCAATAGCAGCATGGCAACTTTTGGGGTTTCTCAGCGCCCATCGTCATCATTGCCGCCAAATTATGCTAATTAGATTAAAGCATAATTTCATGCAACTTACGGCTGCGTCTGTTTGCCCCACACTCTATATCCTTTTGCCCGCGTCCTTGTTGCCCATTGTCTGCTGGCGCATTGGCGTTCACGGCTTCTCCCAGGGAGCAAGTGTGAGGTTGGCGCACAGAGCCTGTGTCAATTTGTCCCCATGCAGACAGACATTATAATGGGGCCTAACGGGTCTAATAAAGACTAATCAAAATCGTGCAGCGATTTGCATTGAAAAAAAAAAAAAAAAAAAAAACAAAAGTATGCACTCAAAATTGTTTCTTTATTCTTTATGTATAATAAATAGACAAAGGAGAAGGTATAAACGATACAGTATAATAGGCATCTAAGTAAGGTATATGTAATGGTATAGTATTATATTGAATAATAAAAAATAAATTAAAATTAAAAGTAATAAATAATATAAATGCATCTCTTTCCAGCGATTGCGAAATTTATTTCAAAGTTTATAAAAGTGACTCTAGTAGTTTTAGTACAAACCAAATAGAAACTAAAAACCAAATGATAAATGAAACATAATTGAAAACCAATTGTACGTGAATCGCAATTAAGCAAATGCCAGCAGACTGAATTCCACAGTAAAGCAGACGCCTATGCTAAGCCTGCGTTCTCACTAATACTATAACACTTAACAGCGACGCTCGCAGCAGCGACAATGCAACAACAAGCACAATTAGGATAACGGAATCGAATAGAGCACAGCTTACGAATGTGTATGGAGCGAGCTCTTAGCATCCACAATGATCGCTCTCTCGCTGTGGCTCTCAGCTTTTGATTGGAGTCCACTGAGCTCGTCTGCGTGAGCAATTGAAAAAAGCTCTTTTATAACAGCAGTCACATATTCCACTTTTGTCATTGGTCGGTCGTGTTGAATTTCTCTCTCTCTATATTTGTTTTTGAAGCTTTAACAATGCTTTTGTACTCAAACGCACGCAAAAGTGAGAAAGACAATCAGTAAAAATGATAATATAGAAAACTTGAAAGTAATATTTTTTAAAATTAATCTTTAAATAACATTTAAGCTACAGCAGACATTATTGAGATACACACAGAGATAAAAAGTTGCAAAAAATTAAATTTCAGCCTTTACAGGCTGCAAGTCATCAAGCTGTAAGCCCACTTGACTCATCATTGTTTATAGACTCTATAAAAAAGCACATAATGTTAAGCCGAGTAGCAAAGCCGAGCTACCCCTGATTGGCGCGAGTTCTCTAAAGACTCCAGAGTCGCGCAATTAACCTAGCAGGTTTTTTAAAAACTCCCCAATGATGTGTCTAAGCCAACAACCAGATCACATTTCCCAAAATGCGGGGCCCAGCTAATGCAGTCGAGGTTTATGATTATTAGTTATGATAATTTAAGTTGACGGCGCAAGAGAAGTTGACACCACGGCGAACCAAAGTCGCCATGGCAGCCCGGTCTAACAACCCTTGGGCAGAACTTTACCGTCACTTACAGTGGCATCGAGACTTCCGTTAGAGTCCCCTGTAGTACTTATTCCATTTTTTTTGTGACCCAATCCCTGGACGCACATCAAAAACTGTTGCGTATTCGACTCGGATGGCAGAGCATCCGGCTTGTCTGTTTGTCCTTTATTGTTTTCCATTTGGGGTGCGAGTACATCGCATTTGCACCTTCAATTAATGCAAGGGGTGGAGTCGGCAGCAACCCTCGTCCTACGTTGTGATTTATGAGGGTGCGCCAGGCAAAACAAAATTAAGCCACGACAAAGAACGACATTTGGCGTCAGCATCTTATATGCATAGAACAGAAGCCTCTCCCCACCCCGCCCTTGGCGAAAGGCAACTTCAACTTTTAATTAAAAGTCACTTTTGATTTATAAACGTGCGCATTTCACAGTTTTACATAAACCAAACGCAAATACGATAGTTGATATCTCGATAAGTCTGTTTAGCTAGCAGTTTAATTTAATACAAAGTTTATTAACTTGGCTAATGGTAAATGTTTATTTGCTTTAAATTCGAAGTAAGCTTTTGCATATACTTAGATTGTTTCTTAATTCCTTAATGTCTTTTGAAATGAGTTATTTTCGAAAAATTACCCAATTCAGCTACATATTCAAAGGAATACCGAAATACGAAAGCACCGAGCTATCAGAGTAGTACCATAAGGGAGCTAATCTGAAAATACAATAAACTTTGTCTGTGACTTTTTGTACTCTAATTCAATACTAAGAGTAAGTAGAAAGGATCCATCGTGAAAGAGCTTGTCCCATCTACATTATTTCTTAGCTGAAAAAAAATGTAATTATACTATTCTTATGCTACGTTCCAGATTATTCAAAGAATTAGCAGATCTGTTTTTCATATTTGCACCCTTTGAAATTAATGAAATGCCACGTAGATATGTGGAATTGGCTAATTTTCCACAATATTCTCCCACTCTTTGCAGCTTTTTACGCCAGAGCAACTCTTGATTGCTGTACTGAAATGCTAGCCAGACAGTGTTGGTAACCCTGGCAATGTACCGTTCGTCTGCTGCACGCAACGTGGCCATATTGTCAGAGGGGCACGTGACATGTCGCGACAGTTGAAAGTGGGGTGTCCGGTGACGCGTGTCCAACAAATAATCAGGATTTGCATGCATCAATGCAAAGCCGTAATGGTATTATGACAATGAAATATATCAAAATTAGGCAGGGAAATTAATATGAGAAAAGATAGATAATAAGAAGTACAAGACTAGACTGGTAGATCCTTGAAATAAAGAAGTGCTTTAAATATAAAAAATACAATTTGATTAAAAATAAATATAAAAAAAGAATCTATCAAAAAACATCCCGTTTTTTATTTGAAGTAATTCAAAGCACTAAAAGCATTTTATTTGTTATGCAGCCCTGCTTGAGAGTCCAGTTCAATGGCTACAAATGCTCACAGAGTTCAGCTACCCACAGCGATTCGTTGCAGCTCCTTCGATGCGTAAAATGTTTGCGGCAAGCACTGATGGGACGAGTGGAGAGGGGGAATGGTTTGGGGCGTGCAATGCATACAGCGTGGCATGTCAGCCCTGACGACCGTTGCACATTGCCCGTGTGCAGGGTATGTCTGCGAGTCGCGTGTGCGTCTAATAAGCCTAATGCATGGTAGAGCCAGGAAAATGCTTGTGGGCCGCAGAGTCGGAGTGTTACGGAGGTTACGCAACTGACTAGACAATATTGGCAATATTTTAAAGTGCGTCGCAGATCGAGTGGGCCTGGGAGAGGGCGGGAGAACAGGCACACGACCAGCGAGCGTCTGTTGTCATAAAAACGCTTTAATTAAATTCATATTTGGTTGCAGGCTGATTTATATAGCAAACGGAGGAAGGACGGAAGTTTGGGCGTGAGACATCGAGAGACAATTATTAAGTGTCATTGTTGGGCTGCATTAATCTAATTGGATTGCATTGTCTGTTCATGAGGGAGAAGTCCTATAAAACTCACCAAAAATTCGTAATGTAAAAGGCAAAACTGAAACTCAGCTGCACAAAACTGTCGCTAGGTGTCGCCTTATGCGCTCAACTTAACGCCACAAAGTTTTACAATTGTTGCGGACGTTAATTTGACATTTGAATTTGACATCTGAATTTCTGCGACTAGGAAAAAAAAACAGCAAGTATATGCAGCAAATGCTGGCAAAAAGTTATGTGACAGCAATCGCAGCAGTTGGTCAAAGTAAAACTTTTGCACTTTAAATTTGAGTATATTTTCAGGGATTACTGCCAAAGTTTCTTGGGTATGCCAGTTCAGCCATAGGGGTATATGTGGGATAAACAAAGTATTCAAAGTATAGCTGAAGCACTGTATTGATATTTAAGTATAGTGAAAGGAGCGTATTATTTGAGTATACTATTATGTGGACTAGATGTTGGATCCGTTAACATATTATAGATTACATTTTAAGCTTCAACTGCTGGAAAATTGAAAAACCTTGGAAAAGTGCTAAGCAAAGCTACAAAGCTATTTTTATTTATTTTTTTCATATTTTATTTGCTGCTATTATAATTTATGGCTCTTCCACTGCTAGCTGTAAAAAAAAAGAGCAACTAAAGCAGATGCATGGATAGCATATATTTCATCTGAAAAGTACTTATAGCCTTATCATGATCAGCTCACATTTAGCATTTCAATCGGTCGAGCTGCACATCAAGAGCATATGTGCTCATATTTGCATAAGCCACGACCTCAAGACGTATGCCCCGATATATCCAAGTAGGTGGCAGGAGGCAGGAGGCAGGAGGCAGGAGGGGGAAGGCCGGGCAGCCAGGCAGTCAGGCAGGATGTGCAGCATCATGGTCATCATTACTCAACTTCTGGGCTATGTGGGGCGCTCAGTAAATAGCAGGCACTTTACGACCTGGGCCCAGGTTACTCGGTGGGCGTGGCCGTAAACAGCAACTGCTGCTACTGCTGATGCTGCTCCTCCTGCTGAAGCTGATGCTGATGCTGCTGATGCTGCTGCTGCTGCTGCTGCGGCACGTGCCGAGCATATTGAATGGTGCATTGAAGTGCAACATGCAGCATGCTGCATGCAGTGTGGAGCATGGGGTTTCGTCTCTTTTTAATGCTTTTGAAAAATGGTCAAAGTTGTTGCTGTTGCGCGTCGCTTTTGGCCAAGCTGACAGGGGCCAGCATTTACCTATATACATATGTACGTACGATTATATACATATATGTATGTATCTATATATCCATATAGGTATAGCTCTGACTCTGGCAAAAGATCACGCGCGCTGCTTAACCCAGTTTTTGAGTTTTTGGCTGCTGCACGTGAGTCCTTGCTAATCATTTGTCTTCCCTGGCTGCATTTCTCCAGTTGGCAGTGCTGCGAAGTTTCCATTACGCACTGACAACTGATTGCCGAGTTTATTATTGCTTCCGTTTGCTTATGAACAGCCAACGGATATGCCATTTCTTCTACCGTTGCCAAATGCTGGCAACAATTTATCAACTCGATTTTCTCCCCCTCTAACCGCCCCGCACACGAAAATACCCCATGGAATTACGAGTGATTTTCTTTTTTTATCTACTTATTATTTCTTTTTAGTTTATTTAACGGGCCACATTCATTTATTATCCTCGATGCTGGTTGTGCTCGAAAGCTATTCCAAAATGTCATTTTCTATGGCCTGATAATCACTTGAAGGAGTTGTGCACGAATATATTATAAAGTGAAGCTAGCAGATGAAGTTGCCATCGAAAATCTCAAAGTATTAGAAAACATTAAGTAATATCAATTCCAGAAGACTCCAAGGCCAGATTATATCTGCATTAACAGCGGAAATTCTAAACTAAATAATTAATTTAAATTTTATTTATTAGTTCCTAGTATTTAACATTAATATTATATTTAAAGTGCCATCATAGCTATAGGCTGCAGTCAGTAATCTCACACACTTAATCATTTGCTATCCCATTAAAATACGGATTACATCATGAAATCCTAAAGTACTTCGCTTCCACTTAAAAACCCTCATTATCTAATGCTTAATTTTACCGCATCTTCCATCCTTCGTAACCAATCCAATTCGCTAATGTTTGAACTACATATATGTATGTCAAGTACTTTGGGCTTCTTTGTCGCTTGAATAATCCGCATTGAACTTGACATAACTTCATGGGATGCGCCTGAATGGAGATGCATCAAGTCAGACAACGATTGCATTTAAAAAGCTGTAAAAGCTCTGCTCGGCTCTCTGCATGTGACAGCACTTAACACTGCCACGCCCACACGCACACACACGCACGCACACGCTCACACACGCACACATACGTAGAGTGGCAAAGTCAAACAGTCGGAGCCACAGCAATTGAAAGTCAGCTACAAAAATGCAATCACAGTTTGACACAATTTTACCGAAGCGCCACTTCAACACGTTGCAACTGCAATATCTTTACACAGAGCCTGCAGCAGCAGCAGCAGCAGCCAAACAAGCGAGCCATCGCACGAGCGACAACTCTGCAAACAACACAATGACAACTCTTTAACACTGTTAAGTTCGCGTCGCCGTCGGCGTCGGCGTCAGCGTCGACGCGTCGATTGATTGTCGCTTTGCTCTGTTACTTCGTGTCGCTGCTTGACATATAACTGTATAACAGTGGGTGTTGTAGTTATTATAAGAGCTTTGCACTCATCTCAGTTTAATCTCATATACATATGAAGTAAAAAGAAAATTTAATCAATATATATTAATTATTTTTATATGATTTGTTGTTTTATAAAAATTGTGTATCCTGTTATTAAATAGTCATATATTGCACTATATTCTGTATAATATATGTTAAGTTAGATGCATGTTAAAAAGTGATTAATTCATTAAATTACATTTTAATTTTAATTTAATTAAATATACACTCATGATGAAAAGAATAGGTACACCAAAATAATCTTAGAAAAATATATATTTAATATAAGATAAACAAATATATCCAGCTTAATATTATTTATAAGCACACACCGTTATAAAATATGCATGGAAATTTCCCATTCCCATCCACTTCAATTTGCAGAGTGTTCAAAGACCGTAGTGAGTTTTTATCTTAAAAGTGTTGTTGTTGCTATCGTTATCGTGGCTTTCATCGCCGCTGCGCGTGCTCGAGTGCATTTACACACACACACACACATTCATACACATAAAGACAAACAAAAGAAATACAAATACAAACATATGGCATTGCCGAATGCCACGCGCACACAGCGAGGACATTTTTGTTGTTTGATTGCGTTTTTATCTACGTCATTTCAGCAGCGCACCAGCATGTTTGGGCAGTGTGGCAACACTGGTCATGCGGCGACTGCAGCAGCTCGACTCTGGCGATATTTTACAGCGCCAACATTTTATTGCAAACATTGTGCAATTTCACTTTAAACGTCAATCGATTTTCATTTGATTTTACGACCATTTTCTTTCTACTCTTTTCCCATTTTGTTTTCCTTCTTGCCTTTGTATGTTGGGCAAGCTTTTGATTTTCTCAATTGCAATCACATTCACATTTTTATACCCTGTAGCAGCACATAAACCGTTCGCTCGTTAAGCGGCCACAGCGCACAGCATCAATGGTATCCAAAGGGTATATAAAGGCTAAAGAGAATTGATCCAAAGCAGTCTCTAGCAAGATAACTGTAAAGGAAACTTAAATATTATATATACAATCACTAAGGATCATCTGATAGTCGAACGGACTCTATTCAGTGCGAGAGCTCTATTCCTTAGTTGTTATTCCCGACATTTAACTTAACGCATATATTTTGTATCACAATCGTATTATCCCGCTCAATGTGTGAGTGTGTGTGTGTGGGTGTGAATTTAATTAACTTGACGTTTATCGAGGCAGACACTTTGCAATGCAAATTTCTTGATATGATTTTCTCAGATACTTAATTTGTCAACGCTTCGCTGATTTATGAATTCAAATCGATTCGATTCAATTTGCTGTCAAATGCGCGACTTTTACGTGGCATAAAGTCAACAATCGGCTATGGAAAATCGAAGTGAAAAAAAGATATTCAGGCAGAGAAAGCAAAAGAAATAGGCAGAAAAATAGTGCTAGAGTAAAAGAAAAACAGAAACGGCGAAAGAAGCAAACAGACAATCAGAGATGAGATGAAGCGAAAAATTAAATTTGCATTTGATAAATGATAGCCCCCGTTTAACAGAGCTTTCATATTCTCATTCATATTCTAGTTCTAAATATTTCATTCAAATGAAAATTTAGAAATTTTTATAAATTCCTATTCCACTTTTACTTTTAATATGCTCTCTCGATTGAGTTACATTGAGGTCAATTTTGCTTTGCACTAAATTAACCCCGAGCACGTTTACATGAGAAATGTATATCGATGAATTATAAAAATAATAAAAACCTAAAAACCTTCTTTAGCTTTCGGCCTGTGGGAGTTGAGGGAATACAATTTACCAATTTCTCAAGCCTGTCCCTAGGCCTACATCTAAACCCTACAGAATGTGCCACCACCACAAAGGTGTGCGCCGTGAAGCGTGCTATACATTTATTAAGGGAAATGTCAAAAGTAATTGAACCACGTAGGCAGAGCAGCGCAATCAAAACTCTGGTTAACTCTTCTGCTCTTTGGCGACCTCATGTGCTACATTAACTTTCGCTTTTTCTGTAGTTTGCTGTGTGGATCAAAGAGGCGGAGAGCACATGGAAGGGGGCGTGGTTGGGTCTAGCATGTTTGTGCCATTTTCGCAGAGTCATCGCATGATTTACGTCGAATCGGCTTTGGCCAAGTAATCATGTTGTTCACACACACACACACACACACACACACGCACACTCACACGAACGCCATTATGAAAAGCCAACAGAAAGGCAACTGGACACAATTATGGGGGCCAAGAGGGCTTTCAATTTCACTTGGCTAGCTTTGGGTAAACAGCTCCTGCCGCTGCTGCTGCTCTGCTGCTGTGAAGCATGCAACAACCGCAAGCATCACGCAAACGCATCAAATCAATGAAAGTGGCCACTGCGCCACGATTTGCACTTCATTGACTTCAATCTATGGACGAGCGAAGCCACAGACGGTCCAGGTCCGTTCTTCAGCTCAATAGCTGCCCCGAAAAGTCAATGAAGTTCAAGCAGAAGCTGAAGCCAGAACTGCAGCTGAAGCTGAAGCTGAAGCTGAAACTCAAGCCAAGGGCGCTGCTTAAAGCATTTCCAGTCTATTCGCTTTATTTTGTAGCCGTCAGTTTATAAAAATGAAAATTGCAAAGGAAACAAAAAAGTAAGGGAACATTTTTCATGATGTTTTACAATGCCCTACAAATTTCTGAAGTGAGGGTTTGTACATTTGGAAATAGTAGATAAATCAAATAGATAATCATAGATTGCTAAGAAGAATACTACTAATCTATATATATTCAGATTACTTACCAAGATTTTTAATGAGCTACTTTAAATGCTTTATAGATTATTCGAAACGAACTTGCATCATCATATTTAGTAAATTATATGATTGCCGATTACAGGAGATCTTTTAGCCAGGCACCTTCAACTTACCACTAGTACTCTTCGTAACTCGCTATAAAATTGCACTCATATGAGCTTGTTGAGGCACAGCCCTCAAAATTGAACCATTGAACCCAGAAAATAGTACATATACTACATATTGATTTAATCTGAATACAAATCGCTTATCAGCAAAAAACAAGAAACGAAAATTGAGACAGAAATTGAAAAAAAAAGCATGAGTATCAACAAACGGCTTATATAACTATGCATGATAAACTTTTCATAGAAGCATAGTATATTTCCATAAACTTGAGGAAACTGCTTTTAAGAGATATAAACAAATTTGGTATAGTATATAGTAAGAGAGCTCTAATTATTTTATTTTGTAAACAAAATAATGGTACAGTTATTCATGATATTTTCATTTACAAAAACGCAATAAACCGCGTTGCGAAAATATTGAAGAAATAACGCCATTAAACTAATATAATATAGTTAAAGTACTAAATACCCGTACCTCCACTACTATTACTACTACTACTATTACTTCAGCTGTGAGCAACGGTGCTTAGAGCATAAGTAATAGTAGTAGTAGTAGCAGCAGTGCAAGTCTTTAGTACTTTTTGCTATAGTATCTTTATAGTAGGTAACTATGTAAAAATAATCACATGGATTAGTAGTAATAGTAGTAAAATAGTAGTAGTAGTAGTAGTAGTAGTAGTAGTAGTAAAATAGTAGTAGTAGTAGTAGTAAAATAGTAGTAGTAGTAGCAGTAGTAGTAAAATAGTAGTAGTAGTAGTAGTAGTAGTAAAAAAGTAGTAGTAGTAGTAAAATAGTAGTAGTAGTAAAAAAGTAGTAGTAGTAGTAAAATAGTAGTAGTAATAACTAATCTGTACTTGTTGAACAACTACAATCTCAGCTAATACTATGACTTTTGCTCTCTCTTAATGCTACTACTAGTAGTAGTAGTAGTAACAGCAGCTATAGTACTCACAAAATAACTAATATCGTAGTACCTACAGTAGTTACACCCTAAACTAAACGCGATAATTTCATTTGCACAAGTTCAATAGAGAAATCAATAAAAATATTGTTATAATATTTGTTGCCAAACGATTTGCAGCACTGCATTGATCCGGCGATTGCTCTGTCCAGATTATCTGTGAGCCGATGCCCATTCGATCGGCCTCCGCTTGAAGAATATCTATTAGACTTTGATCTAACCTTCGCTGACGCGTCAACAGTTTGAAGAGCGGAAAAGGCGAGATGCTCGAGTAGCCGCAGAGTACGGTCATCAGTTGAGGATCGCTATAGACAACCTTATAGGTGACTGTGACGTTCATTTTGACAGTTTTATAATGCAACTGAAATATGCTGGTCTTGGTGAAATTATTCCATGGAAATGAAACCGTTTCCTTGACAGCATGAATTTCGCCATGGATTGTGCTAATGTACTCCAGCCTCAGCTTGAGTTTTCCATCTGCAGTTGGCGGCACCGAAACATTCAGGCACTTCATAATATCCATGTTAGGTATGCGAGCTGCCTCATACCAATAGCCCGACATCTAAGAGGGGGGATAGAAGTGCTCGGTCGGTATTGTATATAGCAATGTAAAGCTTTCCACTTACAGCAGTTAGATTAAGTGGCTGTTCCCGAGCATCTCGACTGCACGAGAAGCGTCTCAGACTCGTAAGCTTGTGTAGATATTGAGCACAGCTCGTCGAAACGAGCACCAGAAAGAGCACCACAAATTGCTGGACTGCCATGCCAGAGTCATCTGTGCTCTACAGCATCCGCCAAGCAACTAATTCACATTATAATGCGAATGCCGTGCTTATCAGACAATTGCTATGCGTATATAAATGTAATCTATACTTTTTAAAAACACTCAGAGAGAGAGAGAGAGAGAAAGAGACAAAGGCTAAGAGCAGAAATCATTGAGGTAGATAGAGAGAGAGAGTGAAAAACTAAGAGAGTCAGTTGTCGTTCACTAAATGACAACTGACTGAGTCACATGCATGATATGAATACTACAAATTGAATTTTTATATGTACATACATGCTCTATAAACATGGGTATCTTATCGTGTGGCAAAAAAAGAAATTTGTACTGTCAGTATTAGAATGCAATTAAAATCTGTTTTATGACTTTCAAGATAAACCTTGCTTAAACAAAACACCTACCTAAGCCAATACTTGATCTATATTTGACACAACTAATGAAAGCTATTTCTTAAAGATTAAACTATTTAAGAAACTTAACTTGCTATCTTTATGATTGGCGAGCTCATAAATAGCTGCATGTGGAACTTATGATATTTAGTTCTTATCATGAAAACAAAAAGACTTATATAAGGAAAACTTTTTTCCTCAATTCATATAAACATACAATGTTATAAGAACTGCATTTGACATCACTCTGTGCTCTACACATAATGTAATATATATAATACCTTAGATAACATATATAATTATTTATATAAAAATATATAAATATTATTATTTTATATATTATTAATAATAATACACACACACACTGTGAAATTACGACTTATCACAAACTACAATAATAACAAAATATTACTTAGAAGCATTTTCTGGCACTATAACGATAAACACACCCTAGTTACCTAGAGTTCTAATGATAGCCAAGGCGAATACGGTTAGGATTGCCATTTCTGGGCGAACTGCAGCATTGCAGCGATCTGGCGATTGCTCCGTCCAAATAATATCATCGGCATAGCCACTAGCGTGCACCAGATTATTAATTAAAACCATCTGGTATTTAGGGATCTCGGGCTGGCGTGCGAATACTTTGACGATTGGCAATGACGCAGAGGCCGCATAACCGCAGAGTACGACCAGGTGTTTAGGATCAGAGAACTGTATTTTATAGGAGAGCGATAAGTTCATTAATGGGGACTCATATTTGACTTGAAAAACACCATTCGAAGTTTTGTCATCCCAGGGAAATGACAGAGTCTCCTTAACGATCCATGGCTTTTTGGGATTAATCGTCTCGATATACTCCAATTGAAGGTTCAATTCCGTATCTGCAGTCGGCGGCACAGAGACATTCAAACACTTCATAATATCCATATTCGGAGCGCGAACAATCTCGTACCAATAGCCCGACATCTGTGCAAAGGAAATCAGGTTAGTATCAACTCCCAGAGGAGCATGCTTTCAACAGTGCCTGCCAAAAGTCAACTTACAGCTGCTAGATCAATTGGGTCTCGATGCATTTCTGTCACGCAACTCACATTCGCCGGCAGTTCGGGAAAGTTTGGTAGCTGCGAATGCACACATTGCGTCCAACTCAGTGCCAAGAGCAACAGGCCAATTATATTCGTTTCCATACCAAAGTTCTGCACACTTCCGAATCGGACTAACGACTGACTCATGTGACGGCCAATTGATATAACTTGGCTTATCAAATAGCAGCCCAGACCCCAGATATGTCGAAAAATATAGTTGAGATTATGTTATCGATCTATTATCTATATTTAGACTTTTATTGGGTTCTTGTAAAGGTGAATAATCCCATATCATGATGTGTTTCTTTTTTGCTCGCCCACGAAGTAAAACGAGCTTATTGGGTCTGTGAACTGCCAAAACCAATAACTGGATCACTGTTGGCCTCTTCCATATGCGGATCAACAGTTGTATATATATCGTCGAACATAAATTTTTACCATGGTTGACCGTAATTTTCAGCTAGGAATATGTCGTAGTTATATTACTTTTAAGTCAGTTTTTGGCGAGTATTATGCAGTCAGAAGGTGCCATAACTTGATTTGCGTTTTTAAATAGTTAAGATTAGTTAATATATAAGATCTTATCTACATGCATTGCTAAACAGAAATCTTTTGTTTCCTGCCAATTAAAAAGTCAAAGCATGCAAGATTTCATATGCTATCAAGTTGTGTATTGATTTAAGAGTGCAAATGCAATAGTAAGCGTTAGAATAATTCTTGGGCTGACATTTATGCAGATTGCTCTATCACAGTTAGAATTATCCAGCCACATAAAGCCCCGTTTCAGTGGAGTTTTCTCCAGTTGCTGATTTACTAAATCCTTGATTTTGGAGTCCATTGTTTTGTTACGCGAAAACATTTTTACCATGACGGAGGGTGTGATTGGTGAAATGCCACAAACCAAGGATAAATTTAAGTAATCGTTATAGACTACCACATAACGCAAAAATGTTTTCATATCGCGCATCTGATATGTCGTCTGAAATATGCTGTTATTGGTGAGAGCGTCCATGGGAAATGTAGCTGTGTCCTCGGCCCTTTTAACCTTGCGACCAATGTGGCTTACGTAGGACAACTTTATTTTCAGTTCTCGGCTCGCACTCTCCGGAAACTCCACCGTCAAGCAGTTTACGGCACTTGACTTGGGGAAACGGGCCACCTCATGCCATATGCCCTTAAGCTGTAAAACAATTTGCATCGAATCAATCTATATACCTATATCTATATTGACTTGATATCAACCTACTAGCTTCAAATCCAGCGGCATGCCCCTGGGATTACTTCGGCAATCCAATATAAATTCATTAAGACACAAGAGCCTCGCTGAAACGCTATCCAACCAAAGCAGCATCGGGAACAGCAATAGAAATATTTTGGCCTCCATTCGGCTCTACAAAGACCTCAATGTCCCTCAATGTTGAGTGTCAGATATACTTTTAATATAGTTGAAGCTCTTAACTCTTAAAATCTTGTTTACTTTGTTATTATTTCTCTATTCCTTGGAAATCACCTTTACTATTAAGTTCCACTATTCCTCGATTAAATCCGATTGATAATCGCACTGCTACATTTAATTATATGATTCAATAATCGATTAATAAATAGTTTTTGCCATCACTATTAGTAACTCTTTGGAATATGTCTAAATTTGCTGTTTCATTTACTTTTCTCAATACTTTAACAGCTTAAATCTTTACTCTTACCCAAAACCAAAAGAATTATGCATTTTGTGTGCCGAGCTCGCTTCTTAAATATGCAGCTGCAGCAAAAAGCCAGCAACTTCTAGCATACCAAAAAAAAATAAATATAAAAAAAGATCGAGCTAAAAAAATGATACTGAATAAAGCAGGCAGCGCAAACATGCGAAACTATTAAAAACATGTCTTTGTCCTTTGGCTTTGGCTGCGTATAATGAAATTCCATTGCCCCGTGTCCCTTGTCCTCCCCCCCGAAACTCCAGAGCTCCCCAGTATCAATCTAGGTGAAATATTAACAAGCCAGTCGCAGTCTGAAGTTGCTGGATAGAAGGCCGATGTCGTCCCCGACGACAGCTCATAAAAATTCCTAGCTACAAAGAGCCTGCTCCCGCGACACATCCCTATCCCGCTCTCACTCTCTCTCTCTCACTCTCTCTCTCTCTGTCTCTCTTTGCTGCTCTTCCGTGAAATGGAATGAAAGGAGACTGTGAGCTCTGGTTAAAGCGCCAACAGACGCTGAAACAATAGACTTGAGTTAACTTAAATTGATTTCCAGACGCGACAGCGTTTAGGAAAAACCAGCCAGCCACGCCCACCCAGCCCATGCCGCAATACGCAGACGTTGCACTAAGTGGAAGTGGGAGAGGGAGAGGCAGACGGCAGAGTAAGTGCAAGTAGCCTCTGCACCTTGATTGCAAGTTATTTGAAATTTAGCGAATAATTTGATAGAAGAGAGACGAGTACATACCCTGTAAATAGATCGAATATTAAAGAAAGGAATATATATTTAATTGAATTACGAATAAAGAGGAAATATACATAAGAATAACTAATTCAGTAGTTGATACATATGTATAAGATAAGTAAATTCCAACATATTTTTAAAAGAATTCCTCTTGAGCAGCGCTTGACATTATAATATATTCCATACGTAGATCAAAAAGACATATACATATACATATGTATATATTAATAAAATTTCATTTCCTTTAGCATTCTCAAACCCTACGTTTACAGGGTATTTTGAAAGTCAGCAGCCAGGCAGCACAAGCTCTCTGTCAGCGCCTTTTATAACGTTGCACTTGAAAATCTTGAGATTGCAGCAGAAATTTTTGTTGCAATTTGTTGGCGCATTGTTTGGCAACATCTTGGCCCGAACAGCTGGGAAAGGAGCAAGCGACTCCAGTATTTTGACTAAACTTGCTTGGAGTTGCAGTTGCTCAATTTTGGTTGCTGGATTCTCGCACTTTTATTTCTCTATTGCATATTGAAATCGTCGCTTTATTTATGCCACTCAATGAAAGCTCTACGAGAAATGGGACAGTCTGAAGTGTAAATGGTGATTCCTCTCGCTTGCTCACATCGAGTCCATTGACAGCTCTGGCAGCTGACAGTTGGCCAATCAATGTACCTTAATTTGATTGTCTAGGAGTAACAGTTAAGCCATCAAAAATCAATGCGTATCATAATCAAAGTTAATATCCATATAAGCTGAATAGTTGTGCGTATGTTGTATAATATTTGGCGAATTTCTTTAACAGGTGAACAACAAAACAGACAAATTTATATGCACATTCGTTTACCTAAAACTTCTAATATGCTACTTAGTAATAGTAATTAATTAAAAATTTCTACATTTATCCATGCTAGTCAGGAATCTAGATTTTAAGCGAATGATCAGAGACAATGCAATACACATAGTAATTATTTTTAATAAAATTCAAACCCTTGCTGTCAATTTCTCGGTTTATCAGGCTTTAAATCCAGCCCAGAATTCCAGAAACTTAGCCAGGGCTTAAAGCACTTTTTGCATCGTTTGCGCTTTCGCAGTTATTAAAAGCTGCTCGAAATGATCGCTGATTGTTTAACTTTCACCTTGTCGCACGGCAAAGAGCACAATTTATAAGGCGCTCGTCGCCTGCAACAATGGAACTGCAACAATTCGCTGGAATCGGGTTGGGGCGAGAACTGGGGGGTCTGCACTTGAAGTTGTTTCGCACCGGCTGGCCGTGGAACTGAGGGCAAGCGCAAACTTTTTAAGTGAATTTTTGATTAGATCTGGGCAAAGTTTTTGTCGCCAGCGACAACAAACGGCATCGGATGCATTCCGCCAGAGTTGCCAACGTTGCTCAACGCACAGCTAGCCGAGCTAGTTGTGCCCTTTTGTAATTTGCGCAAAAGTCTATTTATTTGCGCAAACGATAATAATAAAATATGCACTGCAGATAGTGCCTAGTAGAGCATAAAGTTGACTGCCACACGTCCGGACATCGGACTGGAGTCCACAATTACGAGGCTCAGACTGAGAGAGGCTCAGACACTGTACCTGTTTCTAGCCAAAACTTTTCGCAAACAGTTCACAGTCTCTCGCTCTCGCTCTCTCCTTCTCTCTCTCTCTATCTCTCTCTCTCGCTCACTCTCAATTTAAGTTAAAGTTTCTGTGCGAAAGTTAATAAAATTATTTGCCACAGACGTTGATAAATATGACACAGAAGTCCTTCGCAATGGCAAATAAATACCAGTGCAATACAAAATGGCGTCTGCTGCAGCTAACGGTGTAAACAATATGGCGGCAGCGCACTGATACTTTGGCAAATTATTTACTCAAGTTTTATTGCATTCTCCTACAGCATTTGCTGGTCGCTTAAAGTCAAGGAAAAATATAAAATTATTTATGGAAATATCGAATCTATTTAAAGGTTCGAAAAGATATCAAATTCGTAATGAAGAATTCACTTGGGGAAAGACGAGTGCTGCAAGAGCTGACTTGAGTATTTCAGTGTTTTAATAAGTATTTATGTAGCTGAGATCAGTTGATTAAAAAATATAAATATATATATATGAAAAGTTCTATTAAATTAAGTGTTGATAATAAGAGAAGAATTGTAGAATATACCAGAAATAGTTATATACATATTTATATATTTATATATATATTTATATATATTTATATATTTATTTCCGCATTAATATTTTAATTGAAAATACGATTATACTATTCTCTACAATTACTCATGATATGAAGTAATTTTTAAGAATGAGTCTGAAATATTAGCTTATCAATAAAATGCTCATTAAGTTTAAAAAAAATACATATACTTTCAAATAATTATACATTGATTTGAAATTATTAAATTTTATTTTGTAAATTTTTTTAATAACTACATCTATAATTCACTATATGCATATAGAAGCTTTACAAACATATCTAAACACGCTTTATGAAGACACATTCTCAAAAATTTATCTCTCACATGCACTCCGATTCGATGTGCTCAAAACTTATTTCACGCAAATCAAGTCACATTTGAAGAAACATTTGCTATACCTCGCGACCCCTGACATTTTGCGACCCCCACATCTGAGTGCAACTGCTAACCACACTTAAATAAATAAACAGAATTCGCTATTAAGGCAAAGTGAAGAACGAGAGTTGCGAATGGCACCCCTATACCATCCACAACTGAAGGGTGTTTGCTTAGCTCTTTTCTGTATTTTGTATTTGCTTCGTTTTTCTTTTTCTTTTTTTTTACCAGATGCATTCGATGTGCGTAGTTATTATTCATTGTCGTGCTCGAACAAATATCAAATAAAGTTTTTTGCTTCTGGGTGGATTTCTATGTTTCTTCATATAAACACATATATATGTATATATCTGTTGTATATATGTGCATGCTCTTCTTGATACTTTTTGCACATATGAGCGGGGCGTGTTTTTTTATTTTTTTATTGCCAATCGCTTCATGAGATTTTGCTTTATATTTTAATCGAAGCATTTGTTGCGTGAAATTGTCCTTGAGTTTGCAATATGTTCGAATTTAAAGCGAAAACTTCGATTGGATTCTGGAACTTTCTTAATGCACAAGAGCTGTGCGTGCCAGTCATTAGCTAGTCATTAATCATAATTAATTACAAAAAGAAACTCAGTGACAAAATACGAGTAAATATGCAAAGTACTGAAAGCTCTAAAGGGTTCGAAATTCCGTAATGTTCGATCGATTTGCTGGCTGAGCAAAGTCTTTTGCCCCAAAAAAAAAACAGTTGACAATAAATCTCAATTTTGGGCAAATTAGGCGACGATATGGCCAACAACAACAAGGCAGCAGGTCTGCAAAGATGAAGATGAAGCTAACTGATATACGATATAGCTGCTCAACCACCTACGCCCTGACAGGTAAGGGCTAACCTGTGCGGGGACTGCCGCAGGCGGAAGGAGGGAGGGGCCAGCTCTTGACTGGCATGTCAGCCACATATCAAGTGCAGCCATAACTCAACTCTGCAGCCACAAAGCTGGCCATTCCGAGGCGCGCTCCGCACTGACATTTGCTCAATTTATCGTTATTTCTCTTTGCTGGGCAGCAAAAAAGGCCAAAAAACGGAACGAAAAGGAAAACAACAAAAAATCAATTTTTGCCTATGATAAAACTTGAAACGAATTGCTCTACGAGTCACAAGGAAAGAAAAAAGAAATTATTAAATGGCTCCTACACTCTAGCGGACCTGCTTAGTATACTCTCTTTATGAGATAATGGAGCAAAATTAGAAGAGCTGCAGCCAAGTCGTTTACTAT